CACACACACACATACACACGCGCGCGCGCGTCTGCCTCTCCACACATATTAGCGCAAGCATAAAATATTTTAAGAGAAATCTAGGAAGATCTAAAAAGAAGAAAAAGAAAAAAAAAGAAGGAATCTAATCAACTGCTTTCAGTGGATTATTGGTTGTAAGTTCGATAATTATACGACAAATGGTTCGCGATATAAGTATTTGCTTTGAATTTATATGTATTAATTCAAGAAATGAGAAAAAAATTATTTAATACTAAAATATTATCTACCGATTAATGCCATCTGTGATCTAATTATTGTTTCAAAATATTTTAATTTAAATATTTTTATTTACACGAGATGTTAATGAGAATATTGTGACGCATCAAAATAGGTGACGTTTCAAAATAATTGTTTGCTTTTTTAATATAATTTTAACTATATTCTTGAAGCGTTGAAGTTTGTCTTACATTAGTGTAATTACATAGTGCATATATATTCAGTGCAGATATATTCAGAGAGAATGATTTCTTTGAATTTAATAAAGTTAGATTCAAAGAAATTTATCTTTTGAAATAATCCAAACCAATTATTGATTCAACAAATTCGATTTGGTTTTTCCAAATAATAAATAATTTTATTTTAAATAAAATATTTAATAAATGATTTGAAAAAAATAACGTTCTTTATTACGTGCTTCAACAGTATTAAAAAATCCCTTTGTTTCATTGAAATAATATTTATTTAGCCAAATATTATTTAATCCAAAGATAAATTTTATTTCCTTTAAATAATAATATCCTTTCTATTAAACAGCATGGTATACTACTCTAGCGTAACAAAACTCTTAATTCAACAAAATAATATAAAATTATGTTGTTTAAGTTAAATAAATTCAGGTCAAGCAAATAGAATTACTAAATCTGAAGAAACCTTTTTCTCAGTGTATTATGTAATATTTATGCAACAGTACATCAATTGTCATCGTGTGCCATATTGATATATTTAGAACAATTTAAATCCTACTTTATACCCATCGTTCGATACGGCAATCTCAATTAAGAGAACACAAATAATTATATTGATAATATAATAATAATTATATTGAGATAATTATATTGATAAATTACGATTAGAAAAATTCGAAAGATTTGTAGCGTCTTCTTTTTCAAATTTGCTATATTTTTATATACTTGACGCGAGTCATGCTTTTTAATTTCGCGTCTTGCGAATTGAAATTCGTGAGAAAGTCTCTTTGAGAAATTAATCTGTTCCGCGGTTATAAATAACGTTTCTCATGCTTTTTGCAAGAAGCAACCGATCGCATTTTCGGTCATTTGACGCGAGTAAAAAGCGTGAAAAAAATACGCTCGCGAGAAAGCTCCATGCGCGCTAATCGGCAATTACGAATTACGCGAGCGATTATTACGACGTCTATTTTCTTCGCGCCGTTGGCAATTACAGACCGATTGGGTGTATGCCGTTTAAGCAGCACACGCGTCTTGCTTCCGACCAGCCAACTGTTCTCCAAAGTCGCAGACTCGAAGAGTCGTACTCGAAGATTCATTCTTCCTCAAACGTTTGTGATTTAAAGCTGCATTACTTGTCGAGCCATTTAAATCGCTACGATATCAATATCGAATCGCGCGTTTCTTGGAAAATTTGTAGCGAGATTGTCAAGCAATATAAAAATACATGGAATTTGATAAATTGATTTTGAGAGATATCCAAGCGTAATTGAAATAAAAATATAATTTTCGATTATTTGCCCTACGTCAAAGAGAGAAAGCCATTTTGCCACTCTGAAATGAATTTCAGGCAAATTTGTGGAAAATTCACAAGCTACCTTCCTATTAAAGAACTTGTTGTCGGCTATTTAATGTTACAATAGACAAGTTTTTAATTAACATCTACGTGGAAAAAAATCGATCGGATTAAAATGATTAAAAGATTTAAAGGATGAATAATCGCTCTTGTTTTTCGCAAATTTGATTCTCTTATTTTTGCATATAATTCAACAGGTATCAGCTATATATTCCCGTCGTTGTATTCGTATGTACAAGTTTTCGAAACAACCTCGCGAGACGAGCCTCGATCAATTTCGCATGGCAGATGGCTTGTTATCAGTGGCTAGTTTGAAGAAGTCGGTACACGCGCGGCTCTAGACGCGTAGAATGTGGAAACGGTGATTTGCGTAGTGTATGGATTGTCACGTGTTCAACAGAAATAGCACTTTTACGCTTTTGTCTTACTTATCTGTCATAACTACGATTAGTTCCGATTTCCACTTTGGTGAGAAGATCGCGCTTCCCGAAAGTTGCTTCGTTCGACCGCGCGCGCAAGAGAGATTTTCTTTGGAAATCAAGCTCGTAAACAACGCGATCTGTCTAACATTGTTTACAAAACTGTTCAGCTTTCGCGTTCAAAACTCAATACTAATCACGTTGGAAAATTTCGTGATCACATCTTCGCGATCGCGATCCTTCGTTGTCATTTATATACAGAGTATTTAAAAAAATGGAAATTAATCGCTGGGGAAGTGATTATGGGGATTTAAAAACAAGAAATCAAATATGAATCTAAATCCGAGTTGCGTTGTTTTCGAATTATCGCCATTTATCTTGAAATTTCAAATATATTACAATTGAAATAAATATAAACATAATTAAAGTTAAATAAAAGTTGCAGACTTTAGTACACAGGATGCATCACGTGGAGATACAGCCGCGCTTAGCAGAGTTCTTTTGGTAGAGATCAATTTTGATAAAAAAAAAGGAATTTGAAATTTTAATTTAAAAATAACAATAATTCGAAAACAATATTTTCGGATCTGTTTCATATAAATTTTCTTTCTTGTTTTTGGGTCTCCATTTATCTTTCGAATAATTTTATTCGATTAATCTTGACTTACGGAACACCCTATACAGAATCTATGCAAAGTAGAAAGATTATTATGCCTTTTTTCAGATTTAAATGAATTTATTATTATGAGGTATCTAATTTTAATTAAATTTTCACTACAGGAGCTTAAGATTTTTGTAAAACACAAGAGATAAGCATATAAACAAAATAAAGTTTCAGCTAATAAATATTTTTAACAATACTCTGCGATATTAACTAAGAAATTGATTTTTCCATTCCATTCCAACGCGTGAATGTGTTCCAAATTTGCGTTTTCTTATATCCGTTGAGGATAGGATCTTGACAGGATCGCTGAGATAAAAATCTCAAGCGGAGAAATCATTTCGGAGTAAGAAGAATATATGCACTCTGTATATTACAATTCCTAAGTATGAATTAAAGATTTGAGAATAAACGCGAGGGACACTCGATAAAGGCAATGTCATACGCGTATTATTAGACATGTCGCGCTGTGAATAAGTAATTCTCCCTATTGTGTTCCAGCTGTACGGGCGGACAGGATGCGGGGCGGTAGAAACAAATTCGGACCCATGTACAAGAGGGATAGGGCGCGGAAGCTCCAGCTGATCCGCCAACGGCAGCTGGCGATTCAAACCATACGCGGCA